ACTCCTTCCTCCTCAGGGGAGGGCTCCTCTGAGCCTTTCCCGGCTCCAGTGTCCCTTCTCTCTCACAGGAGAGTCCTCAAACTTCTCCAGTGTGAGTCCTTTACACACAGGGCCACAGTCCCCCGATGACTGCCCGGCTCCGGTGTGGGCTTCTCCATAATTCCTATGTGGGGTCCTCCATGGCTGCACCTTCTCATGGGCTGCACCAAGGGACAAACTGTGCGTCACCATGAATCTTCACCGTGCTGCAGGGGAAATTCCAGAGGTGCTTCTCTCCTTCCTGCTCTCTCTCTCCTTCTCTGACCGGAGTGTCGTGTGGTCCTTCCTCTCAAAAATCTCTCTTCCCTCTCTGCTGGAGGTCTTCATTGGCTCCCCAGGAAAAGCGAGCCATGGTGGAGGCTTGGGCTATGGCAGAGCATTTTGCAGAAGCTGAGCAGGCAGCTGGGCAGCCGGGCTGGTCCGCCTGAGCCGGGCCCTGCCTGGGGCTGCACCAACCCATTGTTCCGTGCCCCCTCTTCAATATGTCATTCGCAGAGGTGCTGATTGGCTCAGCCCTGGCCTGGGGTGGGTCCGGCCTGAAGCTGGGGTACTTCCAGCAGCTTCTCACAGGGGCTAGATTGGGAACACTTAGCAGTTACTTACAGGAGCCATTACTGTGGCCCCTCCCTGCTACCAGACAAACGCAACACACAGGACCACAACAAGTCTGCACCACAAACATGAGGTTTTTGAATAATGTTTGTTTTTCTACTAGAAATCATTCTTGAATGTCTGCCCATCATTTTGTGTCCATATTCATCCTGCTGGAGTCAAGCAGTCTCACTATGGACATGACCCCTGAGTACATTTCTACATGCTGAAATCTGTACAGCCACAGTTCAGGGAAGGCTGCTCTCTGCTTGGATCTGGCTCATTTGCCATGACAACTGTGCTAGGGTGCTGATAAATCCACTCAGTATTCTGCTCAGGATGAAGCCAGCTCGCTGCCAAGGTGGGGTGTACTGTTCAGCTTTGTATGCATAGCCTCTCGAAAGGACTAGAGGGTCAGTCACTGGTGGTTTTGGGTGACAGTGAGTCTCTTTTCTTGACGCTTTGCAATAACAATATGTAAATTCAGTGTACCTTTAGCTATCGGTTTCCCTGAGCTTTGAAACAGATGAGTGAAGTAAGCAGCTGCCTGCCTTCTATGAGAAGGCTATTTGAGATGAGCGTGGTCTTTTCCAGCTGCGCTCAGAGTGAGACTTGTTTGGGAACCCCAGCAACAGTGGGTCAAACAGCCCTTCTGTTTATACCCCCTTTTTCTAAGTGTCATGCTGTTTCCTTTGAACACTGTCCCGTGTTCCTCCTTGAGTCGCAGGTAGGCAGCTGCATTTGACTCTCGTAAGGCTGATGCTGATGTGGCTGCAGAGGCCTGACTGGTAGAAGAGCTGAAGGCAGTAGGGCTGCTTTGGGTTAACAAGAGCAGGAGCAGGTTCTCCATAGAGCAAACCTTGTCTGTTCAGACTTGCATGTGCCTGCTGCAACCTTGTCATTAGCACAGGCTTGCCTGGCCTCATACGAGGATTGTTGGTGCATTCGTATTTGTGGAAAAGCTGTATGATAAAGCCACTGTTAGAGATGGTTACTTTCCGTTCTCATAAACTGTACCTGTTCCAGGTTTTTGTTCGTCTTTTTGCAATTCCAGCACTGCTGAATATTTTCATGTTTCCTTTCCTTTCTAGAAATTAAAGCTAATCAAAATGCTTTTTCCCCTCATGCTGCAGTTTTTATAAACATGGCTGTATGTATGCAACTCTTTACTTTCAATAATTTTAAAATTGTTTCATGAATTGCATTGCTGGGCTTTGAAAGAGTGATTGGCTGTGAGTTTTTTGTTGTGCTTTGTTTTTTTTAGGGCAGAAGAAACCTCTATGCTGGTTCAAATTCTGGTGTGGTTCAGTCTCCCGTGGCATTCTGTGACAAGTACACCACTTGTGTTGACTGTGTTTTAGCAAGGGATCCTTACTGTGCTTGGAAACCCCTTGAAGCTTCCTGTGTTGATATTTTTAAAGAAGATGAAATTGACAGGTAATAGTAGCCTTTGGTTACTTTACAGTTACAATCAATATTGTATCAATCTTGCCCTTTATTCATAACTGGCATTTTTTTAACTGTTTTCAAATACAGACTTTTCCCTATCCATATATGTTGTCTTGTGCTATTTCGATAAGATGAATCTTACTAAGTATGAGAGTCTGTAGGAAACAAGATTTGAAGTTGTAATGCTTGGACTTCCTTTTACAGGAACTGGATTCAGAACATAGGTGGAGATGCATCTTCTTGTTCTGGTGAGTTAGCCTTTGAAGAGCTATTTCACTTGTCAAGGTGGAGTAGTGAGAGAGTTGTGTTTAGTTTGGCATGTTGTTTGTGATTATTTGGACATTAATTTATATTTTAATAGGTATTAGATTCTGCTTTTGAATATTTGAGCATCTGTGTAGCCTGCATGTTGTCTTAAAGTGTCTATTTGTGTACCTTTTGGTGCACAGTGCACAAACCTCTGAAATGAACAGGGGCACCTCAGCAGCAACTTGTGAATTAAAGAAATATTTATCATAAGTACTTCTAGTGCAGAGGCCTCTGTCTCTGTGATACAGCATTTGACATTCTACTGTGAGCCTTGATAAGCACTTGGCTGTTGCTGCTGGATCAGATTAAATGATCCTGGAAAAAGCTGGTTTTATGGTGGGGAGATGCTCATAACCTTATACAGAGCAGCTGAACTACCCTCCGTAGTGCTTTAAGGCAGGTAACTACAGGTCCTTCCTTTATAATTGTGCTGTTGCCACCAGATGAAGGAGATCTTAAAGAGTAGTGTTACAGGAGGTTTGTACTGCAGTAAACAAAGCTCCTAAAACTTCGATTTACTCAGTTTTTATTTCCAATCCAAGCAAAGCGTGGACTGCCATGAGTTTTGCTTGTTAGCTTTTTCGTTAATTTATGATGTTGCATTGTGGGTGTGCTGTAAATGCTGATACTTTTTTCAGAAGAGAGTTTAAGTTTAGTAACAGCAATTGTTCAGTTTCTTCGTGGCTATTTTGTAGTTGCTGATATGCTTAAAATGCATATAATTGCATATAAAGTGTTACCACATTCAGCATCTTGTCTGAAAACAACAACTTCTCTCAGATGCACACTCAGTTGCAGATCAACGAGGTCTCATCTTTATCTAAAAGTGGAGGCTGTCTTAGCATTTGAGGTGTCCTATGTATTAATCTGTCTTGATGTCTCGCACGCACCAGTAGTTTGGTATTTCACTGAGATTCTTGCATGCTATCATCTTGGTCTTGTGAGGTGATCTGAATGCTGTAATCTTTGCATTTCCATTAAGACTATAGCATGGTCTTGTGAAACTGTACAGATTAAGAGCAGTCAGAACTCATTGCTGATACTATGCACATTTATTTTGATGTTCCAGATAAAGTAAGAGAGAATTCCCTACAGCATACATTCAAGCATGGGAGCACAGCAGAACTCAAGTGTTCTCAAAAGTCCAATCTGGCACAGGTAGTTTGGAAATTCAAAGATGATGTGCTGCGAGTGGAGAGCCCCAAGTACCGCCTGCTGGAAAAGGCGCTGCTCATCTTCAATTTATCAGAAGGAGACAGTGGTGTTTACCAGTGTCTGTCAGAAGAAAAAGTGAAGAATAAGAAATTTTCTCAAGTGCTGGCTAAGCATGTTTTGGAACTGAAAAAGATCCAGCATACCCCAGTGGGCCCCACCGCAGCAGCTGCACCAACAGAAGGTAATAGTGATGTGCCAAAAGTGTCAGCTGTATCCACCGAGGGGTCTACTGCTCACACCTCGACCACTCAGATGGTACCGGTAACGACAGCAAGGATTGTAACAAAGCCCATTGGCCCTGTCCTAACAAGTGCAGCCTCCAACACGGAGCTCTTCAATTCGGTTCCTGATGCAGTCCCAGAAAAGACAATGTTCCTCAAATCAAATGATAACTTCCTGTTGATGTTCCTCTTCCTCTTCTTTTTTATTCTCTTCTTGTGCCTGCTCTCCTACAACTGTTACAAAGGGTACTTGCCAGGGCAGTGCTTGAAATTTCGCTCTGTTATGCTGCTTGGTAAGAAGAAAACGAAGTCAGATTTTTCTGATTGCGAGCAAAGTGTGAAGGAGACGCTGGTGGAGCAAGGCAGCGTCAGCCACCAAAGCGGGGAGCAGCCAAAGCCAGCACAGGACACTGGCTACGAGACTGAGCCTGACTGTGGGAACGGCCAGCTGCAGCCTGGGGATTCGCAGGCATCCCGAGAGGCCAGAGACAAGCCCTTTGATGTCAAGTGTGAGCTCAAGTATGCTGACTCGGACGTGGAGGGGGACTGAAGGACCCAATCATCCATTTCAGTGATGGAAATTGCCTGTGGACCTGTGTCTAGCTATTTGAGCACAGAGAGCATGGGTGCAACAGCTGAGCCGTAGCGAGGTTTACATGCTTAAGCTGTACAGCAAGCCAATTTGCGCTCAGATCTCGCCAGATTAGAGAAGTGGTGTACTTGTCTGCAGACCATAGCATCTTGTGTTGTACTGTCGTTTCCTTTCTTTTTTTTTTTTTCAAATGGCCAGTTTCAGAACACCATTTGTTTGTTCCCAATTTCTAGCCCACCGAGCACTTCACTCTCGTGAACAGTTACTTGCTTGTTCTTCAGCCCTGCTCTTCCATAGGATAAAAGTAACTTTCTAATTCAGTTGGCTCTAAAAAGTACTTCTGTCCACACATATTTTTAGCTGCCATTAAAAAAGACGTAGTTTCATTTTAATTCCAAATTGGAAATTTAGTTTATCAGATTGGTAAATTATAGACTTTTGTCCAGATTGGGACATTTTTTTTTCTTTGCTTCTAATGATTGTTTTTAGTTTTATGCTTTGTGTTTTGGCACACTAGATCTCTTTAGTTGGTTAAAGTTAATTTCTTTAACTGCTTTTTAAGTATCTTTGATTTTAAGGTATAATGGGGATAGCATTGGCTTGATTTATGTAAGACTCTCAGGGATAATCTTGTTTAAAGGCTTTTTTCTTTGCTGCTTTCTAGAAATTTAGGTACAACAATACCAGTACAAAACATGGAGTAAGTTGGGGAGGGGGGGAATAACAGATTTAGGAATGCTTTTTCTTTTTCCCTCCCTTAACCAGCAAGATGGGGATAATCACATTCTATTTTCTATACAAAACTGGATTTTTTTTAAATTTCGTGTTGGTGTGGGTTTTGTTTGTTTTGTTTTGGATTTTTTTTTTTTTAAATGAAACAGTACAGGCAAGCAGCTGTCAGTGGTGACCTGGAGAGAGGTTTCTTGCACTGTGGAAGCAGGAATTGAGAAGAATTAACTACAATAATTCATCTAGTGGCTCGCTGGAATGGACTGTTAGGATACAGCCTGATGAGAAAACATTGCCGATTTTTTTTCTTTTTTTCAGATTCAGAAATAACTCGGCTTCTTTTTGTGACAAATCTTTGCAGCGTCACCCTTTCTGGATGACACCTTCCAATCTCCTATGCAACTGGAGACTGAAACTGGAGCTGCTCAAACAATCAGTCGTTTGAACTGTTCATGTGAATCATGCCTGCAAATGTGAAAGTGTGCATTTGTTCTCAGCCTGGTTCACAGCAGCGCTGTTTTGTCTGTAAAAGCATTTTGTGCGGTACAGTCCTGAAGAATTGTTCCTCTCTGCATCTGTCTGTAAATATTACTAGAAGTAGAATACATTTTAGCAGCAAATAGCAGTATGCCTGGGCTGCTTTTCTATGTTGAACTTCCATGTGAATATAATTTAGACCATCTTAGTGTAGACAGTTTATATTTTATAAGATTCAGTTTTGTTTTATTTTTCTATTTTTAATTATGTACATATAACAGAATAAATATTAAAATAAATTGTATTATATCTTGACTTTTATGAAGCTTGACACAACGACACTGCGTTCCATATTGCAAGTACTGTTGTTCCTTATGGTTTCCTTTAAGGGGGAAAAGTGAAAATTTTGTAATTAATTTGAAGCAGATTTTCTTCTTGGCTTTTGTTGAATGGGTTATAACCCAAAGTGGGGGGCAAGGGAGGTGGATTGGAAGGATGAAAAAAGACGTGGGTGAAGGAGGAAAGCGCTCTTCTCTAGGGGCCTAGGGACACTTCCTCTTACTACCCTTCTAAAATTAATTTGTCTTTTTGCGTTATCTTTTCAGTGTGTGATGTATTTCTTAAAACTTTTTTCCTTAGTACCCTTTTTTTTCTTTTCTGTCCTCTTCTGTCACACAGCCTCATCTCCTATACCTTTCCCTCCTACTGGTACCTCCTTTTTGTCCTGTGTGGGAAGTGATTCTTCACCCACCAGTACCCAGCCTGAGGTTCGGTCTAGGACAGACCCTGTAAAGGTCATGTTGTTGCCACCTTTCCTAAGTGACCAGGCACAGCATGTCAGTGTCCAGGGACCCTTTCGCCTCTTCTGCCAAGCCACGGGTAAGTTGGAGGACCCCTGTATGAACTAGCATTTTCTGCATTAAAGATTTAGATATGTCTCCATGTACTCTGTATGTTTTACTTTTTTGATGTTTTTAAAAAAAAAAAACAAAAACCATTTCAGGGTGTATTGTCAACAAGTTACCAAGAATCTGGCACTGCAAATACTGTACTGTAAAATGCAGGCTCTGATTTAGCAGCGCACTTTAGTATATTAATAGTCAATTAATTTTAATAGGCTTACTTGCATGCTGAAGGAGTTCACTAAATCGTGATTGTATATGGATGTTTAGCAGGTATATATTTTCACAATTTAAAAAATACACCTTTAAAAAATACACTTCTGCTTTATTTTAATTTAGTATATTTTTCTGGACCAGGTCAGTTATTCCTTTTTAGTCTTATTTCAAATGATAAAGTACTTACAATAATGACAATGTCCTTTTTATGAAGAATACATTATCCAAGGTTTACCGGAGAAGGACAAAGCTATTTTTTCTATAGAAATTCAACATTTGTCTTTCAGCTTTTGTTTGGATAGTAGTCTGTTTAAACTAAGTGAGATTTAATGGATCTAAACAGGTCTTAAAATGTAATCTTAATCTACATCTGTAATCGCTTCTTTTTAAGCAATAATTTTTTACAAGTAGCGTTGCTTCACATTGGTCTGTCTGTTAGTGTGTGTTAGTGTAACATGGAATCAGATCAAGATGCACAAATCTTTATTAGAGTAGGTCTTAACACAAAGACATGATTTGTATTTCCTTGGCTAAAAAGTACAACAGTGGGATCAGGGTTCTTTTATAGAATAGAATCATAGCATCATTTAGGTTAGAAAAGACCTTTCAGCAGTAATTTATTCACTGTTGCTATAGTCAATTCATAAACTTTGTTGTCCACTGTGAAAAAAATTGTCGTAACAGCATGAATAGCACATATTAATAGCACAAGTAAATAGTTTGAAAATTGTCCTGCAAATCTGGAATTTATTTTAAAAGTACTTTTCTTCATCCAGCAATGTCTAACATGATACTTATGTGCTGCTTTTTAAAAATTGTCAGTAATTGTAGTTGTCTTGGCAGTGAAATTAAGACAGAAGGTGCAGTGTCCTATGTCAGCCTGTTGAATTCACTCCTGAGGAGGTAGGGACGAATAGTGAAAGAACCTGTAACCAGAACCAGACATGCAAGAGATGCAGTGATGGCACAGGCAGGGGCAAGATGAGCCAGCCATGGACATGTTTCTGACCTCTCAGAAAGCAGTGAAGGACTGGACTTTGTGTTATAGATTGGGGGTTTACTCCTTTTGGTAAGCAAGACATTTGGCTGATACATCAAACCCTTCTCTTACCAAGAATTACAGCTTTATTCTGTTAATTTACAAAAAAACAAACCACAAAAAACCACCCAAACAAACACCAAACCAACCAAATGCAAGCCAGCATACCAAACTGATGTAGATCTTTCTGGGATGTGCATGTGAGGATGTGTAAATTTATCCCGGGGGTGGGGGGTTCGGGGGAGAGCAGTGGCTAAGCAAGTGCTTTTACTAGGAAACCCTCTGCTTGGATTTATTTGCATTCTTTCAGTGCCTGTTGATATTTCTTTATATAAACTTAGCTGTAATGGAACTTTGTTTTCCTCAGCTATGAATATAAGGTAAAATGTGCTTGCAAGAAGCAAAAGGGTTAAATGAGACTGGCAGTTAAATCTTGTACCTGGTCTTCTGCATAAAGGTATAGTGTCAGGAAATGTATGATGCAAATACATAGGTTGCCACATTATCCAGTCAAAAACCTGAAGCTTACTTTTAAGTTTCTAAAGTTATTTTTATAAGAGCTACTGAATCTCTACCTTTTTTTTAATTGCAAATGTCTCCTTCAAGCTGTCTGGAATTTTTTTGGTGAGTTCTCTTACTCATCTCTTACTCATCCCACATGTTTTAACCTGAAAGCTCAGCTAAGGATACTACTTTACAACCTTGTAACTGGCTCATTTCAACAACTTTAAGGTAAAATGGATACAGCACAAACAGCCACTTGTCACCTATAACTATTTTTTTTTTCTGGAAAATGGGTTTTTCAGGAATGGAATACTCTCGCCCTTCCTGAAAAGGAATACATCTCCCTTCATGAATTGCCTCCCAGTTTCTCTCTCTACTTCCCTAAAGCATCTGACACCTTCATATTTCTCCAAAGACCTGTCTGCTAGATTCACACTGCTAAACATTAGGTTTCCTATATACTTTCTCTAATACTCCCATTACAGATTTTTTTTAAGCCCTTTAAAGATATTTAAGGCAGGCTTCAAATAAATTAACAAAATAGTAAATTGTACAAAATACAGTAATAAAATACTACCCCATCTGGTGCAGGGGAGAGGCAGTGAGTTATGTATGCACCTTCTTTATATTTTCTCTGTTCTGCTGTGTTGAGTTTAGTAGAAGCAGGCTTTTTCTAGCAGTTTTGGTTCTGCTTAAAGATGTTTTACTGACACTTCCTTCCCCAACTGTGGACTAAGTATATCCTTGACCTTAAGTTCACAGATGAATTACATACTAGGATATGCTGAGTATGCTGAACAACAATTTTAAATGCATTTATAATCAGAAACAGTGCAAAACATTATGCTTTATTTGTACGTGTGGCCTGAAGATTCAGAGTCTTGTCAGTGTCCATGGTATCAAGATGTCTTATCTCCTCCCTTAGTTCATCTGAAGCTGGAGTTTTTCCATAATGGTTTCTTAACTTTTCAGTCTCATTAAAATAATGCCAGGAGTGTGAACATAAAAGTTCTGCAAACTCAGAAGTATACTTTAAAGAAGTTGTTATTTCCTGGAGATACTCAGATGGGTATTTGATAACACCCATGTAC